AGGTCATGATCCCAGGGTCCTGGGATCAAGCCTGGCGTTGGGCTCCCTGCTCCGCGGGAAGCCTGTTTCTCCCTCTCCCACTCTCCCTGCTTGTGTTCCCTCTCTCGCTATCTCTATCAAATAAATAAATAAAATCTTAAAAAAAAAAAAAAAAGAAGGCTCCTGGCTGGCTCAGCCAGTTAAGCATCTGCCTTTGGCCCAGGTCATGATCCCAGAGTCCCAAGGACAGAGTCCTGCGTTGGTCTCCCTGCTTAAGTGGGGAGTCTGCTGGTCCCTCTGACCCTCCCCTCTCTCGTGCTTTCTCTCTCTCTCTCAAATAAATAAATAAAATCTTTATTTTTATTTTTTTTTTTTTTAAGATTTTATTTATTTGCGAGAGAGAGAATGAGAGACAGAGAGCATGAGAGGGAGGAGGGTCAGAGGGAGAAGCAGACTCCCCGCCGAGCAGGGAGCCCGATGCGGGACTCGATCCCGGGACTCCAGGATCATGACCTGAGCCGAAGGCAGTCGCTTAACCAACTGAGCCACCCAGGCGCCCTAAATAAAATCTTTAAAGAAAATAGTCAATGAATGAATTAATATGTATTGATATGGGGAGATGTCCATGATACATGAAGCTTAAAAAAAAAACAACATAAAAACTGCAACACAGTTTGGATAATTTACCATACTACAGGGAAAAAGGTGGACTTGACAGAGGTAGTAGCACTCACCAAATATTCTGCACTCCACATTCCACATGTCCACAGTTTACTTGTAGCAGGGCAGGGCTATGATTATGAGTTCTGACTAGTAAATTGTAAGCGGAAGTGGAGTATGTCAATTTTGGACTGAGGCAGTAAAAAAGTCCACGCATGATTTTATAGTCTCTTTTCATTGCTGTGGTGACTAAAAGCACCATGTATTGCAGAGTGTGACCACAACAGGGTAGAATCTCCATTACCATGGGCCCGTGAGTGACTGCATGGAGAAAATGCCCTGCCAATCTGCGTAAGATATCCAGCATTAGCAAGAAATAAATTTTTGTTATGTTAAGCCACTGAGATTTGGGTGGATTGTTTGTTATTGCAATATAATCTAGTCTATCTTGACTAACACATGTACACAAATTAGCATTTATCAAGTACTTACTATATGCTAATAACCCTGCTGAATGCTTCTTATTAAATCCTTGTAAAACCTTATGAACCAGTAATATTACTCTAAATTGAGGAAACTGAGGCAGTGTGAGGACCAATAACTTGTCCAGGGTGGCCAGCGAAATGGAGAAGCTGGAAATGAAACCAGGCAGTCTGGATTAAGATCTACCAAAATGTTAGTAGTAATTATCCCTGAGGGTAGGATTGTGGGGAGTGATCATTCTTTGTTCTGTGTTTCTGTAATGTTACAGATTTTAAAATAATCATTTATTACCTTTGCAATAAGCAATATATAAATAAATATGCAGATAAACTATATGTTAGTGGGGCGCCTGGGTGGCTCAGTTGGTTAAGCAACTGCCTTCAGCTCAGGTCATGATCCTGGAGTCCCAGGATCAAGTCCCGCATCGGGCTTTCTGCTCAGTGGGGAGTCTGCTTCTTCCTCTGACCCTTGCCCCTCTCATACACTCTCTCTCTCACTCTCTCTCTCTCAAATAAATAAAATCTTAAAAAACAACAACAACAAAAAACTATATGTTAGCTACTTAAAGACTGAATTCAGAGATGGAAGTCAAGTGACACTGGAGAATGGTATAACCAAGGAATGCCTAAACATGACTCTGCCACCCATAGCCATACATGGTTTTATAAGTGAGTTCCAGCAAATAAGGTGAATCATATTATATTTCACAATAAAATTGGTTTAGTTTTGGAGTAGGGGCCAGAGGGGGGGGAATTAATAATATTAAGGATATTAAGGAATTAATAAAATGGTCATGCCCACAGCAGGATGAACATTGTAGTTCTGGGAACGTTTTTCAGGTTTTCTAGTACTTAATAGCACTCTTTAAAAGAAAAGTAATAATAATAAAACAATTCCTTGTAGCTAAAAATGGCCTTATTAAATGTACATTTTAAATGTTTTATTCAATAATATTTAGACAAAATATATATGGCATAATCCTTAATAATCAAGTGTACATGTAGTTTTTCTGGCTGCCCAGGATCTGAATTTGGAAATTCAACAGTGTATGACTCCTGATAGGAGGAAACTAAAAGACCAAAATACTGGTTGCCCCAGACTCTGGGCAGCTAGCTGTTCTGGGCTGCCTAGACCCTCTTGGCTCTCTCATTTTCTGAGCCTGGTTGGTTCTCCAGCCTTCTCACTGATTTTGTAAACTAACGATCAATCCTTCCACGGTTGGTTTCTTTTGCCTGGAAGCAAGAACCTGAATACCAAGCAGGAGCTACAAGCAGCTATATAAGGTGAAGGAATAGTATCTAGGCGAAAATGAGCCACCTTTGAAAGTCTAAATAACAAGACATATATTGTTAGCTATAACATGATAGTAAATGCCATAAATTCATTGCAATTAAATTAGAGATATTTTCCACACCACCACATTTCTCATGAGTTTGATCCTTTGTTTCCTTTCCAGGAATTTCTGTCATATCTGCGTATTCCCTAACTCCACACATAAATCTCCTTATGCTTAACCACCAGTCCTCTTTCATTTATAACATCACACTTTCAAAAAAGTGTCATTATGTTACATGATCTATGCAATAGTAAAAATGCTGTAAATCTGTGGTTTAACATTATAAAAAAACAAATTACGGAACCATTTTATTAGGTTAAGTTCAAAAGTCTTCATAACACAGCCTCACCTATAAGAAAATGAAATTACCTGAGTTTCACTTGCCTTATGGAAATAATAATGCCCATCTTATCTCCCAGTATTAATATAAGGATCAAATAATTTATGGACACGTTTAAGGTATGTACCATATTTCATCAAATCTTAAGATACATCCACTGTAAGACATGCCATTAGTTTAGGTACCACAAAAAAAGAAACAGAATGGCCAATTAAAAACTATAACACACACTTTCTAATCACTTGGAAACTCAATTGATCAACCTAGCAAAACAGCCATTTATACTCAATTAGATACAGACTGTTAAATATAATTCTTGTGCAAACATTATGAGGAAAATATGAATGAAATAAATTGGTTAAGGCATTCTTAAAACTCTTCATTGAGTCCAACATTCCCGAATCATTTCTCAACTCAATCACTGATAGCCACGTTTTCCCACATAATAGCATTATCTGTGCCATCAAAAACACTGTTGACGCAGAATTTCTTATAAGAATCCACAAAATGTTTTTCTGGTTCAAGATGGCGACATAAGAGAATCCTGAACTGACCTCCTTCACAGACACACTGAATGTTCAGCTATGTAAAGGACAATTCCCTCTGAAAGAAATCCAGAAACTACCTGAGTGACTCTTACGTATCAGGAAAATGAGAAAAACCCACACTGAAATGAGTAGTAAAGCCTCACACACAATCTCACCATAAACCTCAACCCTGGCACAGCAACACACAACTAGGAGGGAACTCACAACTCACAGCTTCTCTCTGAGGAGTGAAGGGTTTGGACCCCATGGCTGGTACCACAACTCTTAAGACTTCCACCTGAGAAATGGACTCCCAAAGCGTCTGCCTTTGAAAGCCAATGGGACTTACAAGATCCACAGTCTTTGGTGAACTAATAGACAGTTCTTAAAAGATTTCTGGGGACTCACCATGGCTTACCCCCAGGGCCCAGCACAGAGGCAGCAGACTGAAACAAGCCCAGTCTTTCCATGAAAGAAGCTACTTGCTTACCTTAAAAACTTTGGCTTGAGGGGCAGGCTTCTAATTTAATACAGTCCAGAAATTGGAGGCTGGTAGGTGCATCTTCCTGTTCTCCCTTTGCCTCACTCCAGGTCATCAGTATCTCCCAGAAAGGAGCTCGTCCACATGTCTGATGCCCCAGTTTTTGTAGCTGCTGCCCAGAGGAAGCCCCTAAATGGGGCTTACATTTGCGGGTACCATAGGACTGTAACAAATAGAAAAACAGTTCTTAACCAGGTATCCCTCCACTGCACAGCACAGAGGCAGCAGATTGAAACATGAGGAGGTCTATTAGCTTATTTTAATAGCTGTGGCCTGAGGGGTAGGCTTCTACTTTAACACCAGTCTAGGTGCAAACTGCCATCCTGTCCAGAAACCAGGAAGGCCAGCAGGCACCATCTTTGTGCTTTCCCTTTGCCCTGCTCCAGATTGCTAGTGTCTTTGAGAAAGGAGCTTATACACATGTCTGCCACCCTGGTTTTTGTGGCTGTCACCCAGAGGACACATCTCTTGATAACTTGACACTGGTGGCCAGTGGGGCTTGTGTTCATGGATTCAATGGGATGGTAGCAAATAAAAAGTTTTATTTTATTTTATTTTTTTAAGGTTTTTAATTTATTTATTTGTCAGAGGGTCGGGGGGAGAGAGAGAACACAAGCAGGGGGAGCAGCAGAGGGAGAGGGAGAAGCAGGCTCCCCAAGGAGCAGAGAGCCTGATGCAGGCTCAATCCCAGGACCCTGGGATCATAACCTGAGCTGAAGGCAGATGCTTAACAGACTGAGCCACCCAGGTGCCCAAACAAACAGTTCTTAACTACCTATCCCCCCAGGACTTGATGTGCAGCAGCAGCAGACAGAAATATACATCTCCCAGTCTGCCCCTGAAGGAAGTATATTTACATGCTTTAAAAGGAAGTGGATCAATGATGAAAATATCCAAATATGAGCATCAGAAGCCTTCCAGTCTACCTGATGCATGATCTTTGTAGTTCTGAGAAGCAAAAGTAATTTAAAACAATAAGGGCTTATGTCTAGAGTTAGGAATGTGTGTGCATATGCGTGCATGTGTGTGTGTGTGTGTGTTTATAAAGGTGACCATGAATAACTGAGAACTTGTTGATGAATGAATGAGATATGGCAGGGGGTGATGTGTGTGTATGAAAGACTAATCAGTTCTGATTAATGATTAAAAGTTTTACTACAGAATTTTATAATTATGAGGCTTTCTACACTTGATCTGAGATCAGAATGAAATATTTTTAAAAAGAAAGAAAGGAAAAAAAAAATGTTCCCTGAGAGTCTGGCTTCTAATTAGTCTGCATTTAGTGCTGACTGAGAGCCTCCCCTTTGGGACACTGACAAATATTGGCACATCCTTAAGTACTGGGAGCCACTAAGAACATAAAAGATCACTTGGACAATCACAAAGCTTTGAGGAAAAAGCACAAGGAGCTCAGGATTGAATAATAAGGTTCATCACATAAATGAGACCACTCCTTCAAGAATGAGAAAGGTCGTTGTTTTATCTAATACAAATCAACAGGGTCAAGAAAACTGAATGGAGGAACAAGATAAAATCTCAGAAAAAGAACTTAATGAGAGAGAGATAAGTGATTTGCCTGACAAAAAGTTCAAAAAAATGGTCATAAAGATGCTTGCTGAGGTCAGGAAAACAATGCATGAACAAAGTGAGAATTTCATCAAAGAGACAGAAAATATAAGAAAATAGCCAAACAGAAATCACAGAGCTGAAGAATTCAACAATTAAGCTGAAAAACTCAATAGGCATTTTTAATAGCAGATGAAGTGGAAGAAAAATCAGCAAACTCTTAAGACAGGGCAGTAGAATTCATCCAGTAAGAAGAGCAAAAAGAAAAAAATGCAAAAGAATAAAGATAGCTTAAGGGATTAATAGGACAACATCAAGAGGCCCAATAGTCACATTTTAGGGGTCCCAGAAGTAGAAGAAAGAGAAAAAGGGGCAGACATTTTTTTAAAGAAATAATGGCTGAAAATTTCCCTAACCTAGGAAAGAAACAGACATCCAGATCCAGGAAGTTCCAAAGAAGATGAATCCAAAGAGACCCACACCAAGACAAACTAATTAAGTTATCAAAAGTTACAGACAAGGAGAGAATACAAACAGCAAGAGAAAGACAACTTGTTATGTATAAGGAAACCCCCATAAAACTATCAACAAGTGGCGCCTGGGTGGTACAGTCAGTTAAGTGTCTGACTCTTGGTTTCAGTTCAGGTCATGATCTCAGGGTTGTGAAATCAAGCCCCAAGTCAGGTTCTGTGCTCAGTGTGGACTCTGCTTGAGATTCTCTCTCTCTCCATCTACCTCTCTCCCTCATGCTCTCTCTCTAAAATAAATAAATAAATCTTAAAAAAAAAAAAGACTATCAAATTTTTTCAACAAAAACCTTGTAGGTCAGAAAGAAGTATCATAATATATATTCTCTTTCTCTCTCTCAGCTAACTAACTAAATAAATAATCTTTAAAAAAAGGAGTTTTCCAGAGAAGCAAAAACTGGAGTTTAGCACCACTACACTGAATTTACAAGACATGTTAAAGGAATTTCTTTAAGCTGAAATGAAAGGAGGCTAATTAGTAATAGGAAAACATATGATAGTATAAATTTCACTGGTAAAGGTAAACATATAGTTAAACTCAGAATAATCTAATGTAATGGTGGTAGGTTAATCATTTATAAATCTAGTATGAAGGTTAAAAGACAAAAGTAGTAAAAATAGCTATAACTACAATAATTTGTTAATGGATACACAGATAAAAAGATGTAAATTGTTAAATCAAAAACATAAAATGGGGGCAGTAAAAATGCAGAGCTTTAGAATGAGTCTGGACTTAAGTTGTTAACAACTTAAAATAGACTGTTACAAATATGTTTTTGTTTTTTTTTTTAAAGATTTTATTTATTTATTTGAGAGAGAGATAATGAGAGAGAGCACATGAGAGTGGGGAGGGTCAGAGGGAGAAGCACACTCTCTGCCGAGCAGGGAGCCCAATGCGGGACTCGATCCCGGGACTCCAGGATCATGACCTGAGCCGAAGGCAGTCGCTTAACCAACTGAGCCACCCAGGCGCCCCAAATATGTTTTATGTAAGCCTTATTATAACCACAAAGCAAAACCTACACTACATACACAAAAGATAAAGATAAAGGAATCTAAGCACACCACTATAGAAAATTATCCAATCACAAAGGAAGAGAGCAAAAGAAAAAGGAAGGAACAAAGGAATTAGAAAACGATGAACAAAATGGCAGTAAACCCATACCTATCAATAATAACTTTAAATGTAAATGGACTAGGGGCGCCTGAGTGGCTCAGCTGGTTAAGTGTCTGACTCTTGGGGCACCTGGGTGGCTCAGTCAGTAAGCGTCTGCCTTCGGCTCAGGTCATGATCCCAGGGTCCTGGGATTGAGTCCCACATCGGGCTCCCTGCTCGGCGGGAAGCCTGCTTCTCCCTCTCCCA